GTCACTGGCGCTTTCTTTGCTGCTCCCTTTCTTCTCCCCTGCGCCTCCACAACTCTACAACTTCTTCCTTTTTCTTTCTTTCTCTTCTCCCCCTAGTTTTGTGTTCGAGTTTCCCGGCCTCACTTCAACCTCCTCCCTGCGCCTCTTTTCTTCTGTAGACTAGGGTCTACGGTCAAATTGAAGCTACGGATCTGAAGTGGTTGGAGGTCTTGCGGAGCAGCATCGCCTATCCAGAAGTTTCGACGGAGCACGTTCCCCGAGTTCTAATCCATCGAATCGCGGAAAGGGGCGACCGGCGAGCGATAAGTACAGAAGCCTCTAGTGACCTGGGTTGCTTTCGAACTCTGTGCCGTGCTCTCCGGCTAATGACCGATGTTGGCAGAAGAATGAAGAAATAGGGAGAAGAAAGGGTGAGCGGGAGGAGAAGAAAGCTGGAGGAAAAGGAAGTGGGTGATTGGGTGAAGGCTCAAGTTTGCTGAAACGGGAAAAAAGAAAGTGAAAACAGAAGAAGAAAATGGAAAAAACCGGTTACTTGTTCATTACCGGCTAGAAGGAGGAATTGCCATTTTTTAATGAGTTCGGGGGTTTGATTGAACAACTTTATAGTTCGGAGGCTTAATTGATTTTTTTAAAAAATTGGGGGGCTTATTTGATAGTTTTCCCTTTTGAAAATTTAGCTTCTCTAAAACGTTAAGTAAAACCTCTAATTAACTATTTTTCATTATTGCCTTATAAATTTCTTTTGTCCCCCCCTAATCTTGTGTTTCCTCGTAGAATAGTAGCGAAAAATATTTTTATACTTTGTAGTACACTTATAATTTCAATGTCACTTTAAATTAAATATCATATCTACAAGGACTATATATATTTTCTAGTAGCTATTTTGGAAAATATTAAATCCATAACAACACTTTATTTTGGAGCAGTAGTTATCCCATCATAAATAATTATTAGTCCTTCTTTCCTTTTTGGGACGTTTTTTTTATTTGTCCTCATTTCCCTTTAAGGAAAGTTTTTGAGAAAATACTCCCACTTTTATTACTTTTACCCACTTACTTTTTACAAACTACTTTCTCTTTCCTACTTTACCATCACTTTACTCTTCTTAATACACTCTATTTCCTACTTTATCATCACTTTACTCTTTTTAATATACCATCTTTCCTATTTTATCATTTACCCTACACACTCTATACTTACCTTACTACTTTATTATTAAAATCCGTGCCAAAGCCTAAGAGATCTAATAAAAAAAACGGAGGTAGTATTATGGAGTAGTATCGGAATGAGAACCAAACAAATTTTAATCAAAAGAAACGAAACTAAGAGAGACACATGGAATAAGATAAAACTAAACTAAGGGGACTTAGAGCTAGAAAGTTTTAATTGGGTTTGACTATTACATAGCATTAGAAATTTAAAATAACCTACTAATTTCAAACGGGACACTGGGATGAAAAAATTGGGCATGATATTTTATAGTTATCCCGGTCTCGTCCCGATTAATATCGGTACGGGACCGATTCAGGATGAAAAAATTGCATCCTAAATGGATCGGGATAGTTTCGGAATGGTATCGGGATTTTTCGGTTTGGGACATCGGGACCGGGATTTTTGCCCACCCCTAAGTAAAGTAGAACCCCCCCCCCCCCCCCCCCCTCGATGTGTGCTTTCACCCGCGAACTAAAGTTATGGATAAACCGTAAGAGGTATGCATCTTGAAATCTCACCAACAAGCTCTGACTTTATTGGTTGATTAGGCCTTGATCCTTTCATATTTTGGTCATGACGTCTTCACAACATTTGTAGACTGTTGAGTTGTAATTCACATGAAATTTGAATCGATTCATTTGGAATTATCTACAATAAGTTACACTCAAATCATGAGAAGAATGTCATCTTCTTGGTCCAAAAAACCGTTCATCGCAATGTTTATACTTTAGCTCTCATTCTGAAGGTATTTGCCCAATTTCTCTTCTTCTCTTCAACAAATACTTAAAAATATTTATGTAAACATATGTAAATATAACGACTATCAAATCCCCTACACTTGAGCGTTGCTTGTCTTCAAACAATTATTTGTAAAGATATACAGTTAGAGAACAAACTAAACCGTGCAAATTAAGTTTTCAATAAAATGATAGAAATTAGATATGAACGCTTTAAGCCTTCGCGAGCCAAACACCTTTTTCCAATTACTCATGATAAATGTATTTAAGATTAAGAAAAATATTTCAACTCTCGATCGGTTTATTTTGTGACAATTTAGGCAATATAGGAGATATGTCAGTGACTTTTATGGGTTGACAACTTGATTTTGTAAAGAATGGCATTCTAGGAGAACATGAGTTTTTTTTCTTTCTTTTGTTTTTTGTTTTAAACTCATTGGTTGGTTCTCAGTAATTGTAATTTTGGGTTGTCAAAAATAGGATAAAGTGATAACATAGAGTGATTTGTATTTGGGATAAAACTTTTGTTATCAATTTGCCCTCCATGCAAATGTTTATGGATTTGGGAAATCGACACAACTTTGGGTGAAAGAGATGGTTTCAAGATTAAATAAAAATATAATTAGTCTAAAATGACATTTTTGTGCGTAAAAGAAAATCATTCTCAACCAAACCCCTTAAAAGAGATAATATCAAAAAAAATTAACCTTCTTAGAAGAAAAAATTGTGATGAAAAAATTTCAAAACTAATTATTCGCCCCTCACACTTGATTTACATTGTCCTCAATGTACATTGAAGGATGTAATGGAGAACGAAATCTTCAATATCGGAATGAGACGTCTTTAAGAAAAGGAAATGGATGATACCTCAGTTGAGATGATGTTTTTTTCTTTTTTTCAATTATAAATAAATATGAATGTTTAATGGGTATACATATTTATATACTACGTCCGTCCCGGTAGACTTTGCCAAGTTCAAGTTAGGTGAAAATTAAGAATAGTAAAAACTGTGTGGTCGAAGTTTGTGCAGAGGAGAGAGAAATGTGCAGAACCACAAATTAGTTGTTTGAATAGAAAAGTGACAAAGTTTTTTGGGACAAGTAAAAAAGGAAAGTTGGCAAAGTCTAATGGGACTATATATATTGAAAACCATATAAAGACATTACACTCGTATCATATAAGACCATATATATTTCTATTCTCGGTACTATGTATGTTTATCCTTTAAGCATAAACTAAGTTTAACATACTTTTATGTTGTAAACCATATAAAGACATTACACTCGTATCATATAAGACCATATATATTCATCTATTGAAAACCCCGTCGAATATCAAGACATTACATTCGTATCATATAAGATCATATATATTTCTATTCTCGGTACTGTATATGTTTATCCTTTAAGCATAAACTAAGTTTAACATACTTCTATGTTGTACACCATAGTCATAAACAATCAAAGTTTAAAGGATAAATCACAATTTATTGGTTTAGAACTTTTATCAAACACCTAGTGGGCATAGAGGTTCATCCCTAGCCTTAGCTAAGAAATTAGCCTCTAATGCTCATATCACAATACAACAATTAAATGTAATGAAATATGAAACTACAGTGAAAATAATACCCAAACACCAATGATTTCGGAGGATAATCTTTACTCCTCAAGAATTTGAAGAAAATATCAAGAACAAAAATATAAAAGCTATGAATTAAGCTGTCAAGTACCTTGTCATCTGATGGCATCACTGTGACACTCCGAAAGAGGAGGTCACAGGTTCGAATCAAATTCCAGATCAAGGATATGATGTTGACCATAACAGAACAAATATTATAATAGGTTACAAAGATTTGTCAAAAAAAACTATGAGTTAAGCTATGGAATGGTGATGATTAAGTGATGGAAATGGGGGTTTACATAGGCTAAAGATTGACATCTTTTAGTCTATTCACGATCAAAAATCGAATCAAAGGAAACTTCTTAGCTCTGAACCACCAAATCTTCACATATTTTCTCACATTTTTAGCATGTTCTGTTGTTTTGTGCAGAAACCAAGCCGACCAGCGCCAGTTGGTCAAGTGACCGGCGTCGATTGTATGTATTTTTCGCAGGTTACTTCAAACGACCGGCCCCGGGTGATTACAGGTTTTTTTTTTAAAATTCACATTGGACCGCCGCCGGTTGTAGGCTGACCGGCGCCGGTCAACATGTCTTTTTCCCGTTACGAATTTGGACATGACATCACTAAATTAAAGTTGTAGATGATGAAGTTTTCTATCCACCAAAACTTTAATGAAGTGAATGAAATCATCCAATCAAAAGTTATGGACAAAACAGAGAGAGGTATGAATCCCGAAATCCCACCAGCAATATCTAGCTTTATTGATAGATTAGGTCTTGATCCTTTCATATTCTGGCCATGACGTCTTCACAACATTTGTAGATTATTGAGTTTTAATTCACGTGAAATTTGAATGGTTCGTTTGGAATTCTCTACAATGAGTTATACTCGAATCATGAGAACAACGTCATCTTGGTCCAAAAAGTCGTTCATCGCAATGTTTTATGTTCTAGCTCTCATTCTCAAAGCATTTACCCAATTTCTCTCTTCTCTTCAACAAATACTTATAAATACTTATGTAAACATATGTATATATAACGGCTATCAGCGGTGTTGGGCGATAAAGGGGTGGCAGTGTTGTAGTTACAAAGGAAGGTTGCACTTCTGGGCGTGATGGAGAGCGTGAGATAGTAAGAAAGTCATCTAATTATTTAAGTTTAGAGAGTGTTTTAGTACATTCACTTATAGTGGGAGTCACTTTTTGTCGAAATAATATTTCTGCCATTATTTAAAATATGACACATTTTCCATCGCTTGAATGTGAATATCCTACTTTAATGGGGACAACAAAGTTTAGAAGTTGAAAAAGACCTGGCAAACGGTTATGTCACACATTGGCAAATGGCATTACAAAAATCACAAGTCTACCACCAAATTCTCCTCTCCATTCCTCCCCTACTGATTCTCTCTGCGAATGACCCTCATAACACTGCTTCGAAGCACTACCCACTAGAGTTCAACACATTGAAATAATACCACAAAAAAGAAAAGGAATCAATAAGGGTAAATACATGCATAAGAAAAACAAACGTTCGTAATAATTGAACTGCAAAATATGGATTCGGGGATCACATTCTTCTGGTTCTTCTTCTTCTTCTATACCGCTGTCGTATTTAGTAGTGTCGCATCCTATAACATCACCGCAGTTCTTGAAAGTTACCCGTCTTTCAGCACGTTCAACGACTACTTAATCCGAACTGGGATCGCGACAACCATCAACTCCCACACGCCTCCTCCTGTCACTGTCTTAGCGGTGGACAATGCTAACATCTCCACATCTCTTTCCGGTACGGCGCCAAATGTTCTGAAAAAAATCATGAGCGCTCATGTGATTCTTGATTACTTTGACGCTCCAAAGCTCCAGAGGTTGGGGAACAGGAGTGTGACGGTGGCAACGCTCTTCAACAGCCGCGGTGAAGCTTTGAATAATCATCAGCAAGGCTACATAAACATCACGGGTTTTGGGTCAGGGAACGTTGGGTTCACAGCTGCTGCTCCTACTGCCTTAGGACAGTCCAGTCTAGTTACATCTCTTGTTTCACAACCATATAATTTCTCCTTGCTGCAGATCAGCAACGTTATAGTTCCTTCCGGCATACATAATAACTCTGCAAATTCCAGTTCCGGTAATCAATCCTATTTGTTACTTCTCCTTTTCAATTTAAGCCCAAAAACATACTCCCTATCTTCTCATCTGTATAGTAATAGCAAATAGAAATCATATGTGTTGTTATACCAAAGTAATACTTCAAATATAGGTGACTTTTGGTTGTGCATATCAGCCACTATTTTGCTTTCGAATAAATTCTGTTTTTTGTCCCAGGAGTATCACGGCAATTCCACTATTGTTCCACGACTTTGACTTTGACCACTTTTTATAGACTATTGTTTTTCGCACATGTATGGTCCTTCCGTCAATATTTCCGGTGGTTGAAGTCGCCGGAGAGGCATCAAAAAATTGGACGGAAGATCACAAATGGTCGAGAAATATTAGTCAAGTAAAAAAAGTGGACAAAGAGAAAGACGTGAATTAAATGTGGAATTGACATAAACTCATAGGACCACAAGTGGAAATAACTCAGCCTTTTGAATTGACTTTGGCAGTTTGACTATTCAAACAGTTATTTTTAGTGTTTGGTATATATACGGCTTTTTCATTTGGTTGTTTGAAGTGAAAACACCAAAAATGAAAAAGATATTTTGAATGGTTTTTTCATTTGGTTGTTATAGCTTTGGGTTTTGAGGTATATCATGGAGGCATGCTTTAGCTACAAGCATTACAAATTTGTGAAATAGATTTTCGTATCATAATATAACATGCTTGTACAATTTATGAAAATGTAGTATTAATATTAATAATTTTTATTTCCAAAAAAGGAAGGCTTCTCTTGGAAGTTTGAAACGAGCAATGCATGTGAAGAATTTTTATTACTCACAGGATAAACCCAAACTAATACGGAGTAGTATTTATTAATCCATAGTAGTTGGTTGCACTCATATTTATTTATATATAATATATTTCTATAACGGAGTATGATATATGAATCGATATATGAATAATTGAATACTAAACAACGTAGGCAAATGTATAAATAATACTAATAATTTCACTTTTGATTCAAACGGATTCAACTTTTGGTCCAAGTCTTTAATTTTACCCACTTTTAAAATATGAATATTGTTATTTTATATATATGGTTCTTTCATGGGAAAGTTCCCGAAATGGGACCAAAAACGTTTGTAAATTCCAAAATAGGACTGTCATGTTTTTATTCCCAAAATAGGAGTAATTACTGCCAAGTTTGGAAAATACTGTCATGTTTAAAGTCTGGTACTGTCAAAACATGACAGTAATTAGTCCCATTTTGAGAATTAAAAACATGGCAGTCCTATTTTGGAATTTACAAACGTTTTTAGTCCTATTTAGGGTAAATTCTCTTCTTTCATTGATGTTTTCCGCAATTGGAGGATTTTCTCAAAAGTAAACTCCATGATAAGATGTAAAAAATACATTTGTGACAGAGAAAACGACGCTAATACCTTCATTATACCTTTGCGTGCAGGGCCTGTTAGTAGCCCAGTCATGCCGCCCGCTTCAAGCCCAAAAACACCTCCTGCTGCGAGCCCAAGCAGAGCTCCAGGTGGCAGCCCAAGCAGAGCTCCAGACGCAAGCCCGGCAGAGCCTCCTGCGCCTAGCCCTGCCGGTGCAAGCCCAGCCAAGGCTCCTGCTGCAAGCCCAACTAGGCCCCCGGCTGAGAGCCCAACTAGGCCCCCGGCTGCAAGCCCAACTAGGCCCCCGGCTGCAAGCCCGACGAAGCCCCCCTCCGCACCTAGCCCAAGGAAGATGAAATCTCCAGCACCCGCTCCATCATCTACAGCGCCCACGCCAACGCCTGCTGCTGCTCCGAACACCCCGGCGGCGGGGAACGACGAATCCAGTGCCACCACCACTCGACGGATCCGTGGTTTTCTTGTAGCCGCCGCTACAGTCTCATCAAATCTATTTCTCGTCTTCATGGTTTGACACAATCAAATAGGCTTCTTTTCACACACCTACCCTAATAAGTTCTGTTCCTTTGTTTCTAGATGTTCAAATGATCTACTTCTTTTCTAGAAGCAGGTGAAATTATTTTGAATGAATTTGATGCCTCATAAATTCCGATCATGCACAACTTCATTTCTAATGAATGGTCGCATTTTCCCTTTCCAAATGATCAAAGCGATCGATATGTGAAATCAAATACTTATTCAAATAACAACTCATTATTGTGGATGCCTATATATTAACGAGATTCTAATATTTGCACTACACCACAAAAACTGATACCTGTGCACAAATACTTGTAGTCTTGTACAAACACTCTTTGGGTGTGGTAGGCGGTTAATGTCCATGTGCATACATCGATTTCAGTTCCACAAAGTCACAAACGCTGACGCCTCTTCCAAAAAGCAAGATCTTTGAATAGACTTTTTTATCACGCCAAACTTTTTTAATTTAATTTCATCACAAAGCCAGTGCACTTATCATAGGAAGTTAACCCACAAAACTTTTTAATTCACCTTCACCAAATAATCGTTGTATTTTATGGTATTTAGTACGGACTATATAAAAAATACACAAAGATGAGCACAGTATACTTTCCATGTTTCCAATATTAGTCATGGACCCGGTTCAGGCCGCCCGGTCCGGGACCGGCCCGGCCCGCCACTGTGCAGGCCCGGAACCGGCCCAGTTCTCGGGTCCGGGTGCGGGTCGGGCCTAGGCCCGGTGGGGGGGCGGGTCCGGGCTCGGGCCTTGTATTTGGCGAACCGGCCCGGCCGGGTCGGACCCGGGCCGAATTGATTTTTTTTTTTTTCCATTTTTTGGGGTTAGCCGGGTTGGGCTTGATGGTTAGGAGGGGTTTGGGGGGGTGGGGGGTGAGTGGGGAGATTAGGAAAGCATAAAAAAAAACATTATGACCGAACCGGAGGCCCGGCCCGGCCCAGCCCGGAGCCGGTGGCTACCCGGGCCTTCTTTCCCAAAAAAAAAGCCCGGCCGGGCCCGGCCCGGGTCCATGACAAACCAATATGGATTGCTCAAGGGCATCCACATTGTTTAGATTATTTAGAGTTTATTGGATGATGTGTAAGATTATTTTAAAGATAATCATTGTGAGTGAGGGATTATTTAGAGAGATTATTGAAAAAGATAATCCGGTATCAAGATTTGAATCCCGGATTATTTTAGGTTGTAGTTAAATTTCATTTAATGCATGGTCTAGAAAAACTAAATTATTTGATTATCATGGTTGATGGAGAGTTTTAAGATTTGAGATTATTTAAAATTTATTTAATAAATTTGATGTGTCATAGAAAAACCATTTATTTTAAGATCATGAATGGAGATGCTCTAAGTAAATAAATCTTCATTGACTCAGCGTGTAGATATAAAATCTTACAGAGGGTTGGAACTTGGAAAGGGTTATTTGACACTGGCAGAAATAACTGAATCTATTGTATTTCCGAAGAGGAAAATATTTGGTACAATCGATTGCAACCAAATAAGTACATCTGAACAAGCCAAACAGAGCCTAACTCGAAAGACAACATTGCACAATAAATCTATAAAAGAACAGCCATGAAATACACAGCGGGCTAGGTCTAATGGCAATACATATCACGAAATTAGCATGAGGTTGTTCTCACCTACAGAGCTTTAACTTTCTGAAGAAGGGCGATACAAGTGATTTTGGATAAGGTTTTGTGGCAAGGCAGGTAGGCATATTCTCCGGTTGTTCAATCCACAACTTATGAGCAATACTAGCTACTTTAAGTTTCTCAGACAAGCTCACAATCTGGGCTTCACCTTTAACTTCAAGAGTCACTTTGTGCATACAGTCAATGTTGTTAGGATCACAGTACCTGACCGTGTGTGGATCTGTCTTGTGGGACCAGATTGCAGCAACTGACGCATGGCAGCCTTGAGTGATTACGCTCCCCAGAGGCCATGTGTCAATCAGGTCTCTCCTCAACACGATGTACTGGACCAACATATTATCGGGCTGTGGGCTTCCCAACAAGCCAATCTCCGCTGATGCTGAAGATTCGGTCTCCATTTGAGCTGTTAAAGAGCCTTTTTCTGATTTTGGTTTGAGAAATATAATACTCTTCAACGGAACCTAAAATGATATCATACTAGAAAACATTTATGTTTATTATGTCAACAATAAAGGGCGCAATGCGAAATAAACTTGGCAGTTTGTAATTTCTAATCCGTTTTTGTCATACTAATAAAATAAATATTGTCTATAATCTTAGCGGTGATACTATCAATACCTTAAAATGATTATTCAACAAGGTCATGAATAATATCATTATAGTTCAACCTCTACAATTCTACAAGAATAAGGCAATAACTTGCATTAAACTTACTAGTCACTGTATGATTCTACTAAATGAATGATAGGCCTGAACAATTAAATTAATGGATGGGACTAATTAACCCAAATATTTCAAGTAACAACATTGAATTCTTGTATTTTGATGGAAGCTTTTGCAGGGCCTAGTCTACATGACGGAAAAAATGGTTCTCAAGATGAGTAAAAGGTGATAGAAATGTACTCCGTAATAAGATTGCATATTATGTTGGACTAAATATTTTTAAATATCAAGATGTATAGACTAGCCCTCCAAACCCAACCACACAAAACCTTAGAACCACATAAGAGGAGTAATCAAATAACCTATATATGAGTTTATATCTTGGGCGGATGTTGGATCACTTAACATGGGGATGGGGGTACATGGCCCCACAAAGTTAACATTGTTGGAGCAGATCAATTTTGTAAATTGTGCTCTTTTTTTAACTTAATCTATCGCCCATTTAAATGAATCGGCTCTAATATCATATTCTCAACCTCAAAACACAATTTTATAGGAGGATAGTTCTTTGACTTAGTATCTTCATAATTGGAGTGTGATTGCTTAAAAGAAGGGGTACAATAAGTCAACAACAACATGCAGGCTTTATCCACAAAAGAATTTGGGGTCGACTAACATGAATCAACATATGATATTAGAGTTAAAAACTAGATAGAAAAAGGAAAAGACAAACAATATAAGATCAATCCTCCACGTGTATGCTTTCCCTCCACTTTGCCCTCCCCAAAGCCGTACTCTCATCTAACTCAAATAGTAGCATATTATTATTGACCACCCAAGGTAGTCAAAAACGCACGCCTCATTGCTTGAGGAGTGTTTGCGATTCCTTTCACTTTAAAAAGGTGATTTTTTTTAAAGTGATTTTGGATAAAGTAGTTAATAGTAAAAGTTGATAGTGTTTGAGAAAAAAGTGATTCTGGAAAAGTAAAAGTTGGTAGTGTTCGATAAAGTAAGTGTTTTTTGTGTAATAGAAAAAGTGAAAAACAGTTTAAAGCACCCCTCAACCTGCTTCCAACTTTTAGCTTTTAAGTGCTTAATTTAAGCAGAAGCTGCCCAGCAAGTAACGCTCAACGAAAGGGGAGAGAGGAGCGGCGAAGGGAAACCCTAGCCGCCTCCTCCTCTTCCTTCCTTCTTTTCTTCTCTTCTTTTGACTTCAATCATGGAAAAAGTCTCGTTTAATCGGTATTTTCAATTCTATCTATACGTTTATTTCCCAACGTTGTCTAGAGATATTATTTTCGGTTGCGAAGTGTCGCTCACCAGATCTATATTCCCCGCCATCATCGGTTGGGTGTTCTTGTGTGCTAGTAAGAGGTTTGTATTGGCTTCTTTATCAATCATGAATCAGGATTTCTTCTACATCGATATAGAGGACGATCGCCCCACTCCTGAACCACCGCCGATCCAGGAAGATGACATTGGATGGATTGCTTTTTTTTTTATGGCTGGTCAGACCGGAACAATTTCTGCACTTGGCTTCTTACCGGTGGCTGGAAAAACCGGCAAGTTCAATAATTTCTTTTCGGTGGCTGGTCAAGCCGAACCCATTTCGAGTAGCATGAGCAGACACACTGCGATACAAGTCTACATTGTTGCAGGGTTAGCGAACATGAATGCTTTTATATGGCATTTTTGTTCTTTGTCTCACCCTAATGTAGTATTGAACGCTATGATTGTAATGCTTCGACTTTTAGTTGTTATGTTTCTTGTTAAAATCTGATTATCAATAAAGTGGTTATTTGATTTTCAAAAAAATTTAAGCAGAAGCTATCATTTGAAAAGACTTATTTCAACTTTTTTAAGCCAAAAGTTGAAAAGCACTTTTTTTAATTTTCTGCAAACACTCCATTAAGCTCACCAGGAGCAGCGTGTAGGACATTCAGCGCTTGGGAGAAGAGGAGGCGCGCGCAGAGGTGTTAGGTGCAGTTTAAGCGCAAAAGCGCATGAAGCACAGAAGCGAACAAAGTCGCGCGCCCATATCGTCTGATGCAGATAAGGCTGACAGCCTTTATTTTGATTTAAAGCTTTCAAAAATAATTAGCCCATATCTTTAATTACACTCAGTCCATCTAAATAATAGGGTAAAACAAGTGAAACCTACGCATCACCTTAATTAACGTATGCAAAAACGTAAAACTAGTGTCAAACACTATAGCCATTATCGGTCTTCAGTCTACTCACTCTCCTCACTCCAGCTGCTCTACATTGACCAAGTTTTCCTCATCATCTTAAGCAAACTCAGTTCCCTGACATTCTCACAGCACTAAATAAGGTACGTGTTCCTTTTCATGCAGTCCCCTTCATCCTATATTTTAGACTCATATAGACATATAGTTGAGCAATGGAAAAGGTTCCTTATGCATCAGCAGTTGGCAGTTTGATGTATGCTATGGTCTGCACAAGACCAGACATTGCTCATGCAGTGGGAGTGGTTAGCAGATGTATGTCAAATCCGGGAAGGGAGCATTAGGAAGCAGTCAAGTGGTTACTACGCTACTTGAAGGGCACATCTGAGACATCATTATGTTTCAGCAAGAAAGATCTTGTCTTAGAGGGCTTCGCCGATGCAGATTTGGGTGGTTGTCAAGATTCTGGTAAGAGCACTACTGGTTATGTGTTCACAATGGGAGGAACTGCTATTAGCTGGATGTCCAGGCTTCTGAGTAGTGTTTCTCTCTCAACCACCGAGGCAGAATATATGGCAATTGCAGAAGCAAGCAAAGAGCTTATTGGCTGAAGAACTTCCTGTTAGAGTTGGGCTTTGAACAGAAAGATAGTGTTTTGTATTGTGACAACCAGAGTGCAATTCATCTCGCAAAGAATCTGGTGTTTCACAGTAGAACTAAGCATATCAAGATGAAGTATCATTTTATCAAGGAGCTGATAAATGATGGAGAGTTGTTACTGACGAAGATTCTTGGTACAAAGAATCCTACTGATATGTTTACTAAGGTGGTGACAACTGAGAAGTTTGAAGCTTTGCATGGCTTCAACTGGCCTTCAAGAATAGTGTTGAGAAGGCCGGGGCAACTAGGTGGAGCTTGAGAAGGTATGATATTTACAGAAGTACAAAGGAGTGAAGTGGAGTGCAGCTGATCATGTTTCGAAGCCTCCAAGTGGGAGATTGTTGGGGTGTAGGCTTCGGCCCATTTAGATCTGGGAACCAAATAAGCAGTGAGCAACAGCTAGAAGTGCAGCTAGCCGTAGCTAGATGTGCAGCCAGTCCTAGTTGGGCCTGTTTTTGGGTGGCAGTCAGGCCCAGAGTTTAATTAAAAATTTACCCTAATTGTTTGCCTATATATACTGCCTCCTGTACTTGTAAACGATCATACTGTATTTTCATCACCTCATATACTGTATTTTCATCACCTCAATAAAAAAGAAAACCCTAGTTACCCCCGTGGATTAGGTAGTAACATTTACTGGCTGAACCACGTTAAATTTGTGTGTCGTTCTTCTCGTTTTTATTTTTCTTTCTACTGTTGGGCTGTAGGCTTCGGCCCACTCAGACCTGGGAGTCATTTAAACAAAGAGCAGCAGCCTGCTCTAGTTAAATGTGCAGGCAGCCCTAGTTGGGTCTATTTCTTTGATGGCAGTCAGGCCCAGAACCTTATTTAAGTGCTTTACCCTAATTGTTTGCCTATATATTGACTCCTGTACTTGTAAAACTATTATCTGTATCATTCATCATCTCAATAAAGAAGAAAACCCTAGTTGCCCCCGTGGATTAGGTCAGTAACACTTACTGGCTGAACCACGTTAATTTCTGTGTGCCGTTTCTTCTCGTTCTTTTCTCGTTTTCAGATTTGTGTGTGTGTGCGCCCTAACCTTAACAACTGGTATCAGAGCGAGGTTAGCCACCACCACATATCTGACCACCACCACTGCTGCCGCCCTGCGTCCATAGCCTCTTTGTGCCGCCAACAGTGTGCTGCCGCAGAAAAACACAGCTGGCAGATTGTAAAGGTTTGGGACAATGGCAGACGACGGAAAAACCAAAGTCGAGAAGTTTGATGGACAAGATTTTGGATGGTGGAAGATGCAAATTGAGGATTTGCTGTGTCAGAAGGATCTGGATCAAGCCTTGACAGGAAAGAAACCAGAAAAGATGAGTGATGATGAATGGACTGCTCTAGACAGGAAAGCTTTGGCTGTTATCAGATTTACCCTAGCCAAGAGTGTGGCGTTTAACATCTTGAAGGAGACTACTGCATGTGGTTTGATGAAGGCTTTGTCAAACATGTATGAGAAACCATCGGCGTCAAATAAGGTATTTTTGATAAGACAGCTAGTAAACACCAGAATGAAAGAAGGTGCTTCTGTTACCTCACATATTAACGAGTTCAATACTATCATATCCCGCTTGCTATCTGTTGATATTAAGTTTGAAGATGAAGTCCAAGCTTTATTCTTGTTATCCTCATTACCAGAAAGTTGGTCAGGAACAGTCACTGCCATTAGCGGTTCAACTGGAACTTCTAAACTCACATTTGAGGGCATTCGTGACATTATCCTTGGAGAGGATATAAGAAGGAGGAGTTCTGGAGAATCTTCTAGTGCTTTGTTAAGCACTGAAGGGAGAGGTAGAAAGAAAGAGAAGGGAAATAGCAGAGGCAGATCAAAGTCTAGAAAGAGGAGCCAATCAAAGCCGAGAAAAGATATTCAATGCTGGAACTGCAAAGAAACTGGGCATTTCAGAAATCAATGCCCTAAATCATCAGAAAGGAAGGAAGTGAATGCAGCCACTGACGATT